AGACTCTGGAGGGAGGTTTTGTTTCACAGCTGCTGTGCATACTGTTCGCCTAGGGGAGGAATAATGCTCTCCTCGCGGAGTATGAGTGTGCCCAGTGAAAGGCCTGTGTGCAGGGCAGATGCATCTAAAAATAACGAGAGCTGAAACACGTGGTGAACCTGAGAATAACACCAGCAGCTTGGTGACTACATGGCTGGCATTGCTGTGCAGGATGCCTGCGGGGTTTCCCCTTGCCAGGCTGGAGGGGCAAGCGCTCTTGCGCTCACTGGAAACCTTCCCCTCTTGCAGCTTGGCCTTTGCCGGGTCTGAGGTGGAGCTGACATGTAGTGAGTGCCCTAGTGGGAGTTGGATACTCCTCCACCGCTTGTTTCATGGTGAATAGGGCTTTGAACTCTCAGGTGTTGGTGCTACAAGTATTACCATGGCCTAAGGCCTTCTCCACGCCAGGCTCCCTGGGGAAATCTCCTGTTGGCCCTGCTGGGGGCACAGGACTCCCCAACCTTTCCCCTGCCATTTTGTCTATAGCTGCCATGGGCAGGATAAGATGCCATGATATGGAGGTGCCCTGCCCCCCAAGGGCTCCCAGTGCTTCAGCACCAGGCTTAGCATAATGCTGGGAGATCACCCCGCAGAGCGGAGTGCAGGGGCACGGCCTACAGGGAGGGGAAGACAGCAGCTGTGGGGTGGGGCTGGGAGGTAGCGTGTGGTGGGGGAGAGAGGAGGGTTAGGCACACAGACCATTGGGGCCTTTCCTCCAGTGGGCAGAACAAGCCGGCTGTGCGATTCTTTCTCTGCTTTGATCCCAGATGGGCTGGACTTTGGGCCCTGTGCTGGCTGGCATCTGGGACTGAAAGGCCCAGGAGGGCTGGCTGAGACTTCTGGCCTCTCCCTCCATTCATAGCAGCCCTGGTGCACGCTGAGTCACTTCGGAGGCCTCCACACCCACCCCACAGGCCTCTCTCCTGAGCCACCTGAGAGGAACAAACCAGTTTGTTCTCCACTTCATTGCAGTTTTCCAAATTACTGAGAAACCAAACAAGTTGAGTGTTTCCAGCCTGTGTGACCCTGTGCGACGCAGACATCGCCTCTCGGTCCAGGCACCCTGCATGAACCTGCAGGATAGCAGAGCCACCAGGCTGCGTAGTGAGAGCCTTTCTGGGGCTCTAGAGCAGTGCTTCTCAAATAGGGTTACCATACGTCCGGATTTTCCCGGACATGTCCGGCTTTTTGGTACTCAAATCCCTGTCTGGGGGGAATTGCCAAAAAGCCGAACATGTCCGGGAAAATGCTTTGCCGGCATCCCTGTCCCCTGCTTACCTTAGAGCGGCTCTGGCGACAGCAGCTGCTGCTGCTCCCCCCAGACACCTCAGCTCTGTGTAGCTGAAGAGCCGAGCTGCCCGAGCGCTACCGGCTTCACGGTTTGCCGGGCAGCCCCCAGACCTTCAGACCCTGCACCCCCGGCTGGGCGCTTCCCCAGCGCAGCCGGAGCCCGGGGGGGGGAAGCGCCCTGCTGGGGGCGCAGGGTCTGGAGGTCTGGGGGCTGCCTGGCAAACCGTGAAGCCGGTAGCGCTCGGGCAGCTGTTTCACATGGCTGGGAGGGAGGAGGAGGGGGAATGTGGGGTGCTCAGGGGAAGGGGCGGAGTTGGGGAGGGGACTCTGGGGAAGGGGTTGGAATGGGGGCAGAGTTGGGGTGAGGCTAGGGAAGGGGCAGAGTTGGGGCGGGGCTGGGAAGGGGCGGGGCCGGGGCCCCGTTAAATGTCCTCTTTTTTAAATGTTTTAATATGGTAACCCTATCTCAAAGCTGGTCTGATGCTTGTTCAGGGAAAGCCCCTGGTGGTCCGGGCCGGTTTGTTTACCTGCCACGTCTGCAGGTTCGGTCGATCGCGGCTCCCACTGGCCGCGGTTCGCCGTTCCAGGCCAATGGGGGTGGCAGGAAGTGGTGGCCAGCACATCCCTCGGCCCGCGCTGCTTCCTGCAGCCCCCATCGGCCTGGAGCGGCGAACCATGGCCAGTGGGAGCCATGATCGGCCGAACCTGCAGATGTGGCAGGTACACAAACCGGCCCGGACTGCCAGGGGCTTTCCCTGAACAAGCGGCGGCCCGACTTTGAGAAGCACTGCTCTAGAGCATGATCTCAACGCAGGGCTCGGGGACCAGCCAATGTGCCAGGCCTGGCCAGCCATAGTTTTTTCCTGTCATCTTTGGGCTCTGGAGGGAAGCGGGAATGGTGCAGGTGACTCTGATTTACAGCATGATCCTGAGAACAGACATTGGCTCCACGGCTCCTCCCAGAGCAGACTGGTTTGCATTTCAGCAGGGCTCCCGGACGGGTGCTTTGCTGCGTAGTCAGAGCTCCAGTAAGATGCTTGTACCAGATCTGAGCGCCTTACAGTGCAGAGCAGCATAGTCTGTGAACAGCCGTGCACTACCCTGGAGTAAGGTGCTGCCCAGCGGAAGGGTGACAGAATGGGATGATGTATAGCAATGGAGGCACAGGTGGGTGTGCACACACCTTGCCAGTGCACAGGTCTGTGTGGGTGAGTGCGTGTGCACACACCATTCTTGTTACAAAGGGAGCCTGACACACAAATTGTGTGTGACCCACTAAAATTTTTTTTATTTACTATTTTCCTGCAACAAGGCTATGGATTTGCAAAGACAACCCACCTCCCCAGGTGTTTGAGATGCTGGAGGACTCACCCGGTTTGAGTTTTAAGTCGGGGAGGTGGAGCCAGTGTGGGTCTAACCTGCCTGACCACATCCCATTAACTTTTCTTTAAATTATTGTTTTAAAAATGTGTAAATGCTGGAATGGCGAGTGGTGCCACTGTTCCTCCTGCCCTTGGCTGCCCTTCTCCTGACTTGGGGAGTGCATTGAAAGTCCATCTGGACTGGAGACCTAGGGACTGGTTTGGGGAGCTGGGAGGGGCTCAGGTTTAAGCAGTTGCCTTTAGAAAGCTGTCCAGTGGCTCTGAATATTACCTGTGATGCTCCCAGACCCAGCTGGCCAGTGCCCCTGGCTGGCAAGGGTGGTGAGGCAGATAAAGGGGAGAGGCAATCAGGATTACATTTGACAATGTGTTGCACAGCTGCTGCTATTCCTTTCCCTAGTGATGTTTTTGAACACTCCTTGTTCAGATCTGTGTTCTTCAGGAGCAGCTGGGGATGGTGGGTTTTGTTTTAAGCACAGATGCAGGTTAATCCCCAGACAGCTCTGTGCCTTGGTGACACAGACTGACTCCCGTTGGTGGCCATTTAGGAGTTGTGGATTTACAAGGAAACACTTTGGGCCCACTTCTCTGCAGCTTGGGCAGTTGTTTCCACCGATGCAAAGTTCTACCAGCCCTGCAGATGGCAACAGGAGACTGGTGCATCCAGCCCGTGGTATCTAGGGCTCTGAGCTGGAGAGATGCTGAGCCTTGGCCTCTCCAGCGGAGTTCACGGAGAGGGAGGAGTGCAGCGTCCCAGGGGGCTGCACGCTGGGACAGGTGGTTGGAGGCAGGACATAGCAGCGCCTAACATCATGGATCTGAGAGCAGATTCTGTGGTAGCCGATCTCCCCTCGCATTGTTATTAACGTTATTGCCTCTCTTTGGATTTTAAGCAAAACATCTGGGCTGCCTTTGACTTACTCAATTCCACAATCTCCTTTAGATTTGCATCTTGGCAGCTCTCCTGGTGGGAAGTCCCCACTTTAGCCTTGCATGCTCCCCAGGCAGCCCTGAGCACCAGATCTCCGGCTTCATGGTTGCTTCCATTGATTTCTGAGCTCTGCAGCAACCGCTCATAGATTTAAAGCCAGAAGGGGCTGTGGTCTGTAGGTTGCACCTCACTCCGGGGAACATTCCCTTCATTGTATTATGCTTCTGGTTGCAATTTTGGCTCCTGAATTCAGGCGCCTTTGATTCTGCAAGAGCTGACGCAGCACTGAGCGCTCAGTCCCTCACAGGCTTGGATCCCTTGTAGTGCTTCCAGCCTGGGCCCTGTGCTTGCTGGAAACGGGAAAGTTTCTTTGCCTTGCTAGCTGGGGAAGAGGAAAGGTGGGGCAGCTCGCGTGGGTGTTGCCGACAAACACCAGCCAGGCAGACTTAGAAAAGACACAGCGCCCCCTGGTGGTGACAATCCCATGGGCAGCCAGGCCCAAGCAACCCCCCCCATCCAACTTGTTACATTAGGTCTCTTTCCTAGCCCCTAGTTAACCCCTTCCTACTCAGCAAAGCCTCTGACCAAAGAGTGGTTTTGTAGACCATGGTGGTGGGGGTGTCCAGCTATTCCCATTGCTCTGATTAGGAACAATTCATTCAAAGAAACCTTTTCTTTTACTGAGCTCCTTGGTGCTGGTCATGCACCACAATCCCTGCTCCCCGCCCGGGATCTCACGTTCTCTGACGTGCCATTCTTCACATACTGCTCTCTGTGCTGGGAAGCTCTGGCTGCAGCGTGGTTCACAAATGCATGGCATGCAGGCAGGGGCTGGTCTCAGGAATTTGGGGTGAGGTTCTGTGGGCAGAGTTAAAGCCTCCAGAAAACCTTAACTTTGTATTTCCTGCCTGTCCACGTGTTGGGGTTTGTTTAAAGTTTCACCGTGATGCATATCTCCTGGCTTTGCATCTCTCCTTTTTTTTTAAAACACCTCAGTGTTCTTTTAGGGTGAAATCCATTAAAGTCAAAGGCAAAACTCCCGTTGATTTCAGTGGGGCCAGGATTTCCCTCTCAAAGTTCATTTTCACTTTATGAACATTATCAATTTTAAACAATACTATTTAGCTCTTATGTACAGCTTTTCAAATCTTTCCCCATTGAAGCAATTAAAAAACTGGCAATCAAACCTCAGTGTCTTCTATGTTGCATTGTTTTCTGTAACAGCATGGGTAGTTCAGATACCAGGGTCTTTTTTTTGTTAGATCCTACAACTGTCTTACTGGGCTCATCCTAGAATGGACCAGAAAAAGCTAAATACAAACAATGGTTTATTAAGAACTCTTTGAATTCTCTGCTAGGCTGGGAAGTTGATACCGAAGGTCAGCAAGTGAAGAGAGGAATTCCTGGGGCGGTTCCAGCCAGGACCAAAGTCCCAACAAGGTCAGTCAAACTGGATCTGCCCATTCATCCCTCAAACAATAAAACATGCTTGATTCGTGCTCTCTCTGCTACACCTCCCGCAATATCCGTGCTGGGTGAAATCCAGCCTGTGCAGAAGGCCAGCACGAAGCCTGTGCAAGCACTTACATCCCCATTTTCCAAGCTCTCTGCATAGGGATGACTCACCTCTGCAATTTATGCTTTGTGGTTTAGGGGCATTGAGACTGTGCCCAGCCCATGTCCATCCAGACTGTCAGCCTCCAAAGCTAAACTACAGAGATAAACACAAAAGCCTGTGACTGCTCTGGTCTAGCCCCCTTGCTTTGACTCCTGGAGTTCAATGGGGCTGCACTCCAGTAACTGAAGACAGAACTGGGCCCAAAGATTATAGCTTTGGCCTGTAAACTTTTCTGTCCATGTTGTTTTAAGAACGTAAGAACGGCCATACTGGGTCAGACTAATGGTCCATCTAGTCCCGTTTCCTGTCTTCTGATAGTGGCCAATGCCAGATGCTTCAAAGGGAATGAACAGAACAGAGCAATTATCAAGTGATCCATCCCCTGTTGTCCAATCCTAGCATTTGGCAGTCAGAGGGTTAGGAACACCCAGAGCATGGGGTTGCGCCCCTGATCCTGGCTAATAGCCATTGATGGGCCTATCCTCCATAAACTTAACTCATTCTTTTTTGAACTCAGTTCTAGTTTTGTTTCATTTAGATGGAGAAGGAAGAGGAGGAAACCCGAGAGATCCTGCTCCCCAACTGGAAAGGAAGCGGCTCTCACGGAATCACCATTGACCAGACGGAAGATGGGGTCTTCGTGAAGCAGGTGGTGCAGACTTCCCCTGCTGCCAGAACTGTGAAGGAAGGTGAGTGCAGCGCACCAGCCCGGAAGCAACACGTGTTGTTGTGGGAGGGTGGTGGTGGGGTTGTGCTGGTTTATCACTTTGGGGAGAGAATGAGAATTATGGGAAATTCTGGCTCCACTTCCCTTGTTCCTTTGCAACCCTTTTATCGTAATTCTCTCTTTGCTGCTTCTGTAGCTTTAAGGCCACTGGCCTCCATGGAGATGGCTCCTCCTGCTTGGGGCTCCTTGTCCTGATTCTTTGCTGATGGAGACTCCTCTCTCCATTTTGCCCTGTCTGTTTGCCTCTTCCCTGAGGTGGGGCTTTTCCTGCCACTCAGCTTCTCTCTCCTTCCTGTGCTGTGCTGGCAGCACAGCCCACATATTATGTGCATTACGGTAGCACCTAGAAGCCCCCGTGTGCTACACAGATACACAGTGGGAGACAGGCCCTGCCCCAGTGAACTTACAGTCTAAACAGACACAGGGTTAGGGTGACCAGATAGCAAGTGTGAAAAATTGGGATGGGGTGGAGGGTAATAGGAGCCCATATAAAAAAAAAAAGCCCCAAATATCAGGACTGTCCCTATAAAATCGGGACATCTGGTCACCCTACACAGGGTGGAAGGGGAAACAGAGGTACCGAGGGTGGGAAGGGACTGCCCAAGGTCAGTGCCAGAGCTGGGAATAGAACCTAGGAGTCCTGGTTCCCAGTACTCGTTGCTCTAACCCACCAGACCCCACAGTCCTCCTAGAGCCAGGGATAGAACCCAGGAGTCCTGACTTCCCGCACTCCCTGCTCAAACTGACTAGATCCTACTGCCCTCCCAGAGCTGGGAATAGAAGCCAGGAGTCCTGGCTCCCAATGCCCCTTGCTCTAACCCGCTAGACCCCACTGTTCTCTCCCAGTGGTCCTGTCTAGTGCTTGGGCCTGCTCCAAGATGCTAACACTCTCCTTTCTTGCTGCAGAGCTGTCTCACTGACTCTCTATGCCTGGAGGTGGGATTCAGTCACTGATGGCTCCATGTGGTGCTGTTGGGGGCAGGGGGGAGCCCACAGAGACATGTGGTAACAGGGGTGTGTGTCTTTCCTCCAGCCACCCTGGGAATGAAACAGGGAATCAGCAATATGGGGGCAGCAAGACCTTCCAGATTAACCCCTCTAGGTTCCTGCCAGCAGATCACAGCCATGAGCTGAGTGCTGGAAAGCATTTGGCAAAGTTGCCCCTTCTTAGGCTGCAATGCTATTGAAGAGGCTTTTGATTATTTTAATCAGCCCTGTGTGTAACTGAGCAAGCTTTGTGTATTGCTTGGGCCCTGGATTGTCAGTGCCATCAGCTTGGCTTCACTTCCTTCTCTCTGCGCCTGTAGGGGATCAGATTGTGAGCGCCACCATCTATTTCGACAACCTGCAGTCCGGAGAGGTCACGCAGCTGCTGAACAGCATGGGCCACCACACGGTGGGGCTGCGGCTGCAGCGAAAGGGGGACAAGTCTCCATTGCCGGGACAGTCATGGTCACATGATGTGTTCTCACCCAGGAGCCCAGAAGTTGTTCTGGTGAGTGAGGGAGTGATGCAAGCTCCCGGGGGAGGGAAAGCTGCCCAAGCATTCCTGCAAACTGCTCCATGTGGAGACTGGAGCAGATTTATTCCACTGCAGAACCCTGGCTGCCATCCCTTATGTCAGGAGATCCTCCAGGCCAGAGAGGGCATTGCAGAAAGATACCTGATACCCCGAGAGCCTGGAGTCAGACACTGCAGAGATGGTCAGGGATGGGGACAGGCCAGGTATGCTGAGTCAGCATCTCTGTGGGGCAGCAGCTCCTATAAATGTACAGCTGCTCATAGAAAAGAGCAGCAGGGCCCAGGGTGACTTGACCTTCTGTCATAGCAGCCCCCCTGAAGGAAGGAGATGCAAATTGCAGCCCTTCAGGAGGGAGTCAAGGCCAGTGATTATTACACATGTTACTTTACTGCAGCACTAGCCAATCTCCCCCTTCTCCTTCAAATCTCTCCTTACGGCACTCTGGTGTTAACCAATTTCTCTTATTTTCAGAGTGGGGATGATGAAGAGTACAGGAGAATATACACAACGAAAATTAAACCACGTCTGAAGTCGGAAGATGCAGCAGAAGCTGAACACACAGAAAGCCGAACCATTACCGTCACCAAAAAGGTCACAGCTTATACCGTAGATGTCACTGGACACGAAGGAGCAAGAGAGATTGACATCAGCAGCCCAGAATTTAAAGTTAAGATTCCAAGCCATCAAGTCACCCATATAACAACAACAGAAATTGAAAAAGAACCTGGGAAAACCGTGATCAAAATACCACAGGTGGATTTGTCTGGGAAAACAGACTTCAGTATGGGCATCAGAGGTAGACCTAGTGGCATCTCATATTCTGGACCAACAGTTGAATCATCCACCAAAAGGTTGGACTTTGGTGCCCCTGACGTGCACATGAGAGAGCCCAAGGTGGGCACTGAGATAAATGTCTCAGGACCTCAAGTCACAGGCATTCACCCGAGAACCCAGACAGACTTTAAGCCAGCAGAAATTCAAGTTCCAGGTGTGGACGTTGTCAAATCGGTTAATGTTTCTGGCACTAGAGTCACAAGCCCAGAGGGCAGCTTGCCCAGAATCGATGCAAATGGACAGAGGGGAAACCTGGATGCAAATATTCACATTACTGGCCCTAAACTAAATGGAAAAATGGGTGTTTCAGGCATAGAGGTTAAAACTGAAGTTCCAGGAGGCAAACAGCCGCAATTTGATATTTCAGGCTCCAAGATAAGAAGCGGTATGGAAGGTCCCAAAGTTGATGTATCATTTTCAAAAATCAAGGGTCCTTCAGTTGATATTTCTGGCCCTAAGATTCAAGGTGATATCAAAGCTCCAAGGGTGGACATTCCTCTTTCGAGCATTGAATCTGATATGCAGGACATTAAAGCTCCAGAAATTAACATTGAAAGCCCAGGAAAAATAAAAATGCCTGTAATGAAGATGCCTAAATTTGGCTTCTCACCTTCAGCTTCTGATACTGATGTTCGAGCACCACAGGCAGGTGTAGACATTTCTGTGCCAAAGATACAGGCTCCTCACCTGGATATCACAGCTCCATCTGTTCATATGGAAGGTCCAAAGGAAAAACTGAAATTTACAGTGCCTTCAGTGGAAGGTGCTAAAGTTGCAAAGCCACATATGGATGTGGCTCTCAAAGGACCTCAGTTGAAGGGAGTGGTGGAAGTGTCCTCTCCAACACTAGAAGGTCCCAAAGTTGGTGTCAAGGGTCCCAAGATTGATCTTGTGGCTCCTGATGTTGATATTCAAAGTGGTGAAGGAAAAATAAAATTGCCCTCAATGAAATTTCCTAAATTTACTGCATCAGGTTTCAAAGGGGAAGGCCCTGGTGTGGGTGTGACGCTTCCTAAGGGGGAGATTGCTATTGCAGGCCCCAAGGTAGACATCAGCACACCAGATATAGACACTGGAGGAGAATGGAAAGTCCCCAAATTTAGGAAGCCTGAATTAATTAGTCAGACACCAAAAATCTCTATGTCAGATGTGGACCTGAGTCTGAAAGGCCCTAGCCTGAAGGGAGATGTGGGTATTTCAGGGCCAAGGATCGAAGGGGATCTGAAAGGATCCACTGTGGACATTAAAGGCCCCAAACTAGACATTGAAGCACCTGGCATTGACCTTGAGAGTCCTGAAGGTCAGTTGAAAGGGCCAAAGTTCTCAATGCCTTCTTGGAAAATGTCACCATCAAAAGTATCCATGCCAGATGTGGATGTGAATCTGAAAGGGCCTAAACTGAAGGGAGACATGGATGTTTCTGTCCCACAAATAGGAGGTGACTTGAAGGGACCTCAGATTGACATAAAAGGCCCCAAGCTAGATATAGATGCTCCTGACATTGACATCAAAGAGCCAGAAGGACACCTGAAAGGTCCTAAATTTAAGATGCCTGAAATGCATATCAAGACCCCTAAAATCTCCATGCCAGACATCGACTTGAATCTGAAGGGTCCTAGGCTGAAGGGAGATGTGGATGTTTCAGTGCCAAAGCTGGAAGGGGAGTTGAAAGCTCCTGGAATTGACATTAAAGGCCCCAAAGTGGACATTGATGCACCAGATGTGGATATTCACAGCCCAGATGGTAAACTGAAAATGCCTAAACTGAAAATGCCAAAATTCAGCATGCCTGGGCTGAAAGGGGAGGGACCAGACGTGGATGTAACACTTCCGAAGGGGGAGATGGATATTTCCAGTCCGAAGGTACAAATTGGTACTCCAGGTTTGGACGTTGAAGGACCCAAGGGAGAACTAAAAGGTCCCAAATTTAAGATGCCTGAAATGCACATCAAGACACCAAAAATCTCCATGCCAGATGTCGACATGAATCTAAAAGCCCCCAAGCTGAAGGGAGATGTTGGTATTTCAGGGCCAAGGATCGAAGGGGATCTGAAAGGATCCACTGTGAACATTAAAAGCCCCAAACTAGACATTGAAGCTCCTGGCATTGACCTTGAAAGTCCTGAAGGTCAGTTGAAAGGGCCCAAGTTCTCAATGCCTTCTTGGAAAATGTCACCATCAAAAGTATCCATGCCAGATGTGGATGTGAATCTGAAAGGGCCTAAACTGAAGGGAGACATGGATGTTTCTGTCCCACAAATAGGAGGTGACTTGAAGGGACCTCGGATTGACATAAAAGGCCCCAAGCTAGATATAGATGCTCCTGACATTGACATCAAAGGGCCAGAAGGACACCTGAAAGGTCCCAAATTTAAGATGCCTGAAATGCACATCAAGACCCCTAAAATCTCCATGCCAGACATCGACTTGAATCTGAAGGGTCCTAGGCTGAAAGGAGATGTGGATGTGTCAGTGCCAAAGCTGGAAGGGGAGTTGAAAGCTCCTGGAATTGACATTAAAGGCCCCAAAGTGGACATTGATGCACCAGATGTGGATATTCATGGCCCAGATGGTAAACTGAAAATGCCTAAACTGAAAATGCCAAAATTCAGCATGCCTGGGCTGAAAGGGGAGGGACCAGACGTGGATGTAACACTTCCAAAGGGGGAGGTGGATATTTCCGGTCCGAAGGTACAAATTGATGCTCCAGGTTTGGACATTGAAGGACCCAAGGGAGAACTAAAAGGTCCCAAATTTAAGATGCCTGAAATGCACATCAAGACACCAAAAATCTCCATGCCAGACATCGACTTGAATCTGAAGGGTCCTAAACTGAAGGGAGATGTGGATGTTTCTGTTCCAAATATACAAGGTGATTTGAAAGGTCCAGAATTTGATCTTAAAGGCCCCAAAGTTGACATTGACGCACCAGATGTGGATCTTCATGGCCCAGAAGGTAAATTCAAAATGCCTAAATTCAAAATGCCCAAGTTTGGAATGCCTGGGTTCAAAGGGGAGGGACCAGACGTGGATGTAAGCCTTCCGAAAGGGGAGATTGATCTCTCAGGTCCCAAAGTAGACATTGATGCTCCAGATTTGGATTTTGAAGGGCCAGAAGGAAAACTGAAAGGTCCCAAATTTAAGATGCCTGAAATGCACATCAAGGCACCCAAAATCTCCATGCCAGATGTTGATTTACACTTGAAAGGCCCTAAACTGAAGGGAGATGTGGATGTTGCTGTTCCGAAGCTGGAAGGGGAATTGAAAGGTCCTGAATTTGATCTTAAAGGCCCCAAAGTGGATATTGATGCACCAGATGTGGATATTCACGGCCCAGAGGGTAAACTCAAAATGCCTAAACTGAAAATGCCTAAATTTGGTGTACCTGGGTTGAAAGGGGAGGGACCAGATGTCGATATAGCACTTCCAAAGGGAGAGGTGGATATTTCTGGTCCCAAGATAGACATAGATGCTCCAGGTTTGAACATTAAAGGGCCTGAAGGAGAGCTGAAAGGTCCCAAATTTAAGATGCCTGAAATGCACATCAAGACACCAAAAATCTCCATGCCAGACATCGACTTGAATCTGAAAGGCCCTAAGCTGAAGGGAGATGTGGATGTTTCTGTTCCAAAGCTGGAAGGGGAATTGAAAGCTCCTGGAATTGACATTAAAGGCCCCAAAGTGGATATTGATGCACCAAATGTGGATATTCACGGCCCAGACGGTAAACTGAAAATGCCTAAACTGAAAATGCCTAAATTTGGTGTACCTGGGCTGAAAGGGGAGGGACCAGACATGGATATAACATTTCCAAAAGGCGATGTGGGTATTTCCGGTCCCAAAGTGGACACTGATATCCCAAGTTTAGACATTGAAGGGCCAGAAGGTAAAGTGAAAGGTCCAAAGTTTAAACTGCCTGAGCTAAATATTCAGACACCCAAAGTCTCCATGCCAGATGTGGACCTAGGTTTGAAGGCACCTAAACTGAAAGGAGATGTGGATATCTCTGTTCCAAAGATGGAAGGTGATTTGAAAGGACCCAGCATTGACGTTAAGGGGCCCCAAATTGATATTGAAGGTTCCCAAATGGATATTGATGTGCCTGATATGGACTTGGAATGTCCAGAAGGCCAACTGAAAGGCCCCAAATTTAGGATGCCTAAAATGAATATCAAGGCCCCTAAAATCTCCATGCCAGATGTTGATCTGAATCTAAAGGCACCTAAACTGAAAGGAGAGATGGATGTTTCTGTTCCAAAGATGGGAGGTGATTTTAAAGGACCCAGCATTGACATTAAAGGTCCCAAAGTTGACACTGATGTTGACCTTGAATGTCCAGAAGCCAAATTGAAAATGCCAAAAATGAAATTTCCAAAGTTCGGCATGCCTGGATTCAAAGGAGAGGGCCCTGACATGGATGTGAAACTCCCTAAGGGACAGGTGGACATTTGTGGTCCCAAAGTGGATATTGATGCTCCAGGTTTGGACATTGAGGGACCGGAAGGAAAAATAAAAGGTCCCAAATTTAAGATGCCTGAAATGCACATCAAGACCCCTAAAATCTCCATGCCAGACATTGACCTAAATTTGAAAGGTCCCAAACTAAAAGGAGATGTGGATGTTTCTATTCCAAAGCTAGAAGGTGATTTGAAAGGTCCTGATGTTGACATCAATGCCCCCTCAATAGATATTAATGCACCAGATATTGAGCTGCAGGGTTCAGGTGGAAAACTGAAAATGCCCAAAATGAAGATGCCTCAATTTAATGTGTCAGGCCCTAAACTTGAAGGACCTGATATAGATGTAAATGTGCCAAAGGGAGAGGTTGATATTTCAGCTCCCAAGGTAGATATAGAGGCTCCAGAGCTGGACATTGAAGGCCCAGAAGGCAAATGGAAAGGACCTAAATTTAAAATGCCTAAACTGAATATTAAAGCACCTAAAATCTCCATGCCGGATGTGGACCTGAATCTCAAGGCACCGAAAATGAAGGGGGAGATGGATGTTACTGTTCCAAAGATAGAAGGTGATTTGACAGGACCTGAAATTGATATTAAAGGGCCAAAATTAAACATTGAGGCACCTGATGTGGATCTTGAGTGTCCTGAAGGAAAACTGAAAGGGCCCAAATTCTCAATGCCTTCTTGGAAAATGTCACCATCAAAAATATCCATGCCAGATGTGGATTTAAATTTGAAAGGGCCCAAACTGAAGGGAGACTTGGATGTTTCTGTTCCAAAGCTAGAAGGTGACTTGAAGGGACCTGAGATTGACATGAAAGCCCCGAAACTGGACATTGATGCACCTGACATAGGCATTGACGGGCCAGAAGGAAAAATGAAAGGTCCCAAATTTAAAATGCCTGAAATGCACATCAAGGCCCCAAAAATCTCTGTTCCTGATGTAGACCTGAATTTAAAAGCCCCTAAAATAAAAGGGGAAGTTGATATCTCAGCTCCTAAACTTGAAGGAAATTTGAAAGGTCCTGATTTTGACTTCAAAGGCCCCAAGGTTGATATTGATGCACCAGATGTGGATATTCATGGCCCAGATAGTAAATTCAGAATGCCCAAATTCAAAATGCCCAAATTCAGCATGCCTGGGTTCAAAGGAGAGGGACCAGAGGTGGATGTGAAGCTTCCAAAAGGGGAGATGGATATTTCCGGTCCCAAGATAGACATTGATGCTCCAGAGTTGGATATTGAAGGTCCTGAAGGAAGGCTGAAAGGTCCTAAATTTAAGATGCCTGAAATGCACATCAAAGCGCCTAAAATCTCCATGCCAGACATTGATTTGAATGTGAAAGGCCCTAAATTGAAGGGGGATGTAGATGTTTCTGTTCCAAAGCTAGAAGGTGACTTGGAGGGGCCTGAATTTCATCTCCAAGGCCCCAAAGTTGACATTGATGCACCAGATGTGGATATTCATGGCCCAGAGGGTAAACTCAAAATGCCTAAATTCAAAATGCCCAAATTTGGCATACCTGGTTTCAAAGGGGAAGGCCCTGATGTGGATGTAAAACTTCCGAAGGGGGATGTGGATATTTCTGGGCCCAAGGTAGACATAGATGCCCCAGATTTGAACATTGAAGGTCCAGAGGGAAAGCTGAAAGGTCCCAAATTTAAGATGCCTGAAATGCATGTCAAGGCACCTAAAATCTCCATGCCAGATTTTGATTTGAATCTGAAAGGACCTAAAATGAGGGGGGATGTGGATGTTTCTGTACCAAAGATAGAAGGGGATTTTAAAGGGCCTGAGTTTGATATCAAAGGTCCCAAAGTGGACATTGATACTCCAGATCTTGATATTGAAGGTCCTGAAGGAAAATGGAAGAGCCCCAAATTTAAGATGCCTGACATGCATTTTAAAGCACCTAAAATCTCCATGCCTGACGTCGACTTTAATTTGAAAGGCCCTAAAGTGAAGGGGGATGTGGATGTTTCTGTACCAAAGCTAGAAGGGGATTTGAAAGGGCCTGAGGTTGATATCAGAGGCCCTAAACTGGATGTTGATGTTCCTGAGGTTGACCTGCAGGGACCAGAGGGAAGATGGAAAGGTCCCAAATTTAAGATGCCTGAGATGCACATCAAGGCACCTAAAATCTCCATGCCAGACATTGACTTGAACCTGAAAGGTCCTAAAGTGAAGGGAGATGTGGATGTTGCTGTTCCAAAGATTGAGGGTGATTTGAAAGGTCCCGAATTTGATCTTAAAGGCCCCAAAGTTGACATTGAGGCACCAGACATGGATCTTCATGGCCCAGAAGGTAAATTTAAAATGCCTAAATTCAAAATGCCCAAGTTTGGAATGCCTGGGTTCAAAGGGGAGGGACCAGATGTGGATGTAAGCCTTCCAAAAGGGGAGATTGATCTCTCAGGTCCAAAAGTAGACATTGATGCTCCAGATTTGGATATTGAAGGACCAGAAGGAAAACTGAAAGGTCCCAGATTTAAGATGCCTGAAATGCACATCAAGGCACCTAAAATCTCCATGCCAGATGTTGATTTGAATTTGAAAGGCCCTAAAGTGAAGGGAGATGTGGATATGTCTGTTCCAAAGATTGAGGGTGATTTGAAAGGTCCTGAGTTTGATATAAAAGGCCCCAAAGTTGACATTGCTGCACCAGATGTGGATATTCATGGCCCAGAGGGTAAATTTAAAATGCCTAAATTCAAAATGCCCAAATTCAGCATGCCTGGGTTCAAAGGAGAGGGACCAGAGGTGGATGTGAAGCTTCCAAAAGGGGAGCTGGATATTTCTGGTCCCAAGATAGACATTGATGCTCCGGAGTTGGATATTGAAGGTCCTGAAGGAAGGCTGAAAGGACCTAAATTTAAAATGCCTGAAATGCAAATCAAAGCACCAAAAATCTCCATGCCGGACATTGACTTAAACTTAAAAGGTCCCAAAATGAAAGGAGATGTTGATGTTTCCCTTCCAAAACTAGAAGGTGACTTGAAGGGTCCTGAATTTCATCTCCAAGGCCCCAAAGTTGACATTGATGCACCAGATGTGGATATTCATGGCCCAGAGGGTAAACTCAAAATGCCTAAATTCAAAATGCCCAAGTTTGGAATGCCTGGATTCAAAGGGGAGGGACCAGATGTGGATGTAAGCCTTCCGAAAGGGGAGATTGATCTCTCAGGTCCAAAAGTAGACATTGATACTCCTGATTTGGAAATTGAAGGTCCAGATGGGAAATGGAAAGGTCCTAAATTTAAGATGCCTGAAATGCACATCAAGGCACCTAAAATTTCCATGCCAGATGTTGATTTACACTTGAAAAGCCCTAAAGTGAAAGGAGATGTGGATGTGTCAGTTCCAAAGATTGAGGGTGATTTGAAGGGGCCTGAATTTGATATCAAAGGCCCCAAAGTTGATATTGATGCACCAGACATGGATCTTCATGGCCCAGAAGGTAAACTCAAAATGCCTAAATTCAAAATGCCCAAATTTGGCATGCCTGGGTTCAAAGGAGAGGGCCCTGATGTGGATATAAAACTTCCTAAGGGAGAGGTGGATATTTCTGGGCCCAAGGTAGACATAGATGCTCCAGATTTGAACATTGAAGGTCCAGAGGGAAAGCTGAAAGGTCCCAAATTTAAGATGCCTGAAATGCACGTCAAGGCACCTAAAATCTCCATGCCAGATTTTGATTTGAACCTGAAAGGACCTAAAGTGAAGGGGGATGTGGATGTTTCTGTACCAAAGCTAGAAGGGGATTTGAAAGGGCCTGAGGTTGATATCAAAGGTCCCAAAGTGGACATAGATGCCCCTGATGTGGAGATTGAAGGTCCAGATGGGAAA